ACCCACACACCCACACACACACACACACACACACACACACACACACGGGCGCAGGGGATATCAATTGTGTATGTATTTAAGTTGTAAGAAGTGTGTTGTAACTATGCCTTAAACCCCAAGTTTAAGTTGAAAGAAGTCTGTTATAACTATGCCTTAAACCCCAAGTTTCAGGGCTTTGTTGGCACATGCTGAAATCTGATGTATTTTTAACCTCAGATTTTTCTTTTTTCTCTGTCTCAGAAAAGCTTGTGGAGAAATTTGGAACTAAGTATTAGATTATTTTTGAAAGTAAAGCAAACCTTAAAAAGTCATTTTTCACATTGTATTCAAGTAAGTTGAATTTACCTCAACTATCAGCTTAGAAGATGTTGAAACTTTTCTTTTCTTTTTTAAAACATAGATTTTAAAGGAAGACTTGTATTTCATAATTTGTGTATAATCAGTGCAAGCGAAATTAAGGAAAAATGGATGTAGAAAATGAGCAGATTCTGAATGTAAACGCCACTGGTAAGTAGTATCCTAAACCCTGTCTTGTGAGCACACATGAAGCTATTCCATATTTTATGTGAAAAACTGATAGTACAACTTTTAATAGGCAACAAAAACTAGGAAAAGATTTTCAAAACGAAAAGAAGATATCAGAGCCAACTTTGGCTATTTGAACGTAAAAACGGCCAGCATTGAGTGTGGTGCAGTTGGCAGGGGCAAAGTGCCCAGTGTGGTCACATTACAGAGCAGAGACTTCACTCCTCGTCTGAGATAGTGTGAAAAACCTTGGAAGGGTTTTCAGGGAGGCCATGCTCTCGAAACCAGTCTCTTCAGTGTAGAGAATGTTTTGAAGAATGAAGATAGAGGGACTGAGACCAGTGGAATACTTTGTTTTAATACTCCGAGGGTGTTTGTTTTGGATCACAGCACTAACATTGGTACATTTTTGTTAAGAATCGGAAAGGATTAAATACAAATACAGTCTCTAGAAGTTGATTTAACATTTACTTTGTAAACTATCACAAAATACATTAAAGTCATATAAATTTTGCACATTATAATTAGGCATCAGATAATTTGGGTGGTTTGGCTCTGACTCAGAGTTACTCATTCTGAACAAAAGTGCTATAATGGTAAATGAACTCAGTAGCCTTTCTGACTTAAAAAACAAAAAGTTTTCAGAACAATGCTGAGGTTGTCATGTAGTCACCAAAGACCTGTGGAGTGTGTGGAGAATGGCCTGCTCTGGGCTGTGGAGTGTGTGGAGAATGGCCTGCTCTGGGCTGTGGAGTGTGTGGAGAAGGGCCTGCTCGGGGCTGTTGGTAGACAGCAGTCTAATAGCCCCTTCTTGGAGGCTCTGACCACAGAGAAGAGTTAGAATCTGAGAAGTGAAACACTGGTTTCTGTGATGGGTTCAGTGGTCATTATATGAACATTTAGAATCACCATGGCTTGAGTTTTTAGGGAGATTTTCATGGAAGGATTAAGATTTGGAGTGTATTTTGAAGAATTCTGGTAGCAGATTAGGAATTAAATGACTTTTTAGCAAGGGAACAGTAGGAATGATTTTAGGTACTAATGTGCCAACTTGTATAGGCTGGAAACTTCATAGATGGAAATTTGGGGAAATTAGGAGTTGGAGATGATGATTTTAAGAATATTCCTTATGTTGAAGGCAGTCAATTCAACAATTTTACGTGATCCCATATTTGCCAAATATGTATTACAGGCTTTTGGGGAGTCCTTAATGTTTCCTAAGTGTTTGTAACTGAACAGAGAATATTTGGGAAGTAATTTTAAATACATTCTGAGCCTTGATTTCCTCACTTGTATAAATTGTTGAACTTGTATCCAGTATAGAGCCTAAAAAGTATAATAGAAATTTTGTGTAGTTTGACATTGTCTCAAGATTCTTTTGTCATACCATCTCTATTTTCATAACTCTTTGCTCACGATCTACAGTTTCATGATCTTCTACTAACATGTTTTATTATTTAAACATGAGATTCCTTCTTTTCAGAAAATCCTAATTAAAATTCAGTACCTTTGTGTACTTTCCTTGGTAATGGGGAAAAAAATCTTATTTGTCCTTTATTAGATTAAGCCATGTGAAATTGCCAATGTATAATTACTACTAACTACAAAGTGTTAATTTCATGGGTAGTAACCAAATTAAATTATACCTGAACATAACAGTGGATGTTGGAATTACTTAGTTTGGTTTGTTCATTTTTCTCTTTTAAGATCCTGATAATTTAAGCGACTCTCTATTTTCTGGTGATGAAGAAAATGCTGGCACTGAGGAAATAAAGAATGAAATAAATGGAAATTGGATTTCTGCATCCTCTATTAATGAAGCTAGAATTAATGCTAAGGCAAAAAGACGACTACGGAAAAACTCATCTCGGGACTCTGGCAGAGGCGATTCAGTCAGTGATAATGGAAGTGACGCCGTCAGAAGTGGAGTACCTGTGCCCACCAGTCCAAAAGGAAGGTTGCTAGATAGGCGTTCCAGATCTGGGAAAGGAAGGGGGCTGCCAAAGAAAGGTTAGTGTGTGCTGTGCAAAGAAACAATGCGGAAAAACCCCAGCTCCTGCGCTGGGAGTTCCTTGTTCTAAAGAGGACAGAAGTACAGACAGTTGTAAGGTTTATGGGTTGCGTAGGTGTTTGCTGTGGAGCTGAAGGCTCATGTCACTTCTTAAGTTTGACTATCTTTCTTTGTAATAGAACTTGATCCCCCCCCCAGCAAAATACAGTAAACATTGATGGTTTCAGTTACAGCTTTTATACAGAGTATGAAAGTAGATTAACCATAGTTTATCAAATCAATCTGCTTTTGGTCCATTGGTAAGAATAGCAACTATCATACATTGGTAACGTATTTGTAGATCTGGGTCTGAGTTCTCTCTGGCTTTGCTGTTGGAATGATGGAGTGGATTGATTTAGTTCACAGTTGCATTCACTGCCTAGACTACTGATAGACAGTAAACACTGATTGGATGAGGGTCCGTCAGCTCCTGCCTGTAGTAGGATTTCGGTAGAATTTGGAGATTGGACTGACTTTTGAATGATGTGAGCTTCAGTTTATATACTTAATTAAGACCCTGGTCATTTAAATGGATCTGGTGATGAAGGTGCTTGGAGGTGTGTGTCTGGGTTAACATGGAGATGGTATTTCAGCATCCTCCATTAATGAACCTAGAACTAATGCCAAGACAAAAAGATGATTATGGACAGCTTTTTTTTTAAGGGTAAGAGAGAAAGGTAAATATGTAACTATTCACATAAACTATAGTAGTCTTTCAGAAATTATTTTTGTGAATAGTTTCATGATCATTTGGATCAAAATGATAGCTAGTTATCTGATTCTGGTGTGCTATGTTAGCAAGGGCTATACTCAGAAGTTCAGAATGAAAACTCAAACAAAAAGTGGGTGGGGGGAGGTGACAGAAAGAGATCATAAGAAGGGGGAGGGCGGAGGCCGGGTGGAAACTTTAAGGAGGCAGTGTCGTTATGAAGCTTTTAAAGTGTTACTTTAAACAGATTTGGCCTTAGAAAAGTATCACATTGACATAGAAAAGCAGCTTGGCAAGTTGAAGTTTTACTCTTTGGTTTGTGTACAGAAATAGAAACAGCTGTCGGTGCTGTTGATTCTTCAATTGCAATTATTTGTTAACATACTATTAATTTTGAAGTGTAGGTTAATGTGTACTTTATGTGGAAGAAATCAGACTTTAAAGCATTTGATGGTGGTCCTTACGGCTCTTTGTGGAATCATAGGTTGAGGTTTTAATGTCATATTTACTGGCCCAACATGTGTCTCTTGATTTCCTCCTTTCTGGTTCCAAGACACGTCAACAATTAGAGCATCCTCACTGTGTCACTTTGTGTAAGGTCTGTGGCATGGCTGTTAAAAATATTTTTAAAGTATCTGCCTTTGTAGTTTCTAACTAAGTTACTTCAACTGGATGCTTTTGGAAATAGATAACCTATTGTCTAAAAAGTGATCTAAATAGGAGTTTGAAGTATAATTCTTACCTGAAAAATGATTAGCATAAGAATTTTCACATTGAAGTTATTCAGATTTCAGTTAACGTGTGAACTATCGACAACTTCCAGGTGGTGCAGGAGGCAAGGGTGTCTGGGGAACACCTGGACAGGTGTATGATGTGGAGGAGGTGGACGTGAAAGATCCCAACTATGACGATGACCAGGTAGGCATCAGCCACAGATCGTCCAGGGGCACATGGTCACACCTGAATTCCCTGCTGCTGTAAGGACACAGAAATGCATAGGAACGCCACACACTCAGTGCCCTGGGATAGCTGAATTCATTGTAGATTAGGAAAGCCAGCTTATTGATTAATGTCTGCTGAATTCATTGTAGATTAGGAAAGCCGGCTTATTGATTAATGTCTGCTGAATTAATTTTAGATTAGGAAAGCTGGTTTATTGATTAATGTCTGCTTGGTTTCAGGAGTCAAAAGGAGTCTTTGTTGCCTTGGGATTAGCAGTGATGATAAAGGAGGCTTCTTCTTGGGTATTGTGGGTTATAGATACTAGGTTCCTTTTCTGTGTCACTGGTTAATGTGAATACTAGCACGTATGCTATTCTGGGAACACACCTGCATTTTCTCTCATGATAATGCTTAGTAGGAAATGTTTTAATGCATAATTGTGAAGTTCTCCTTATCTTTTTAGTGGAAAAATTCCAAAACTAGAATTCTCTTGTACTCATTTTTGAGGTTCACCAGTGTCACCGTAGTAACCCACGGGAAATCTTATTTAATCCCCGATCTCCATTTATCTCCTTCCTCCATGCTCAGGATTACTTTCAGGGAAATACTGGGTCTCATGAAAATATTTTTTAAATTAAAAAATACTGATTTTGTGTAAGTTAGAAAATGGTGATGACAAATGAAAACTTAAAAGTGTCAGTGATTGTGCTAGGCTGTTCTCTTTGCATTATCTGCATTTATGTACTTACTGGTTTTAACAGATGGACATGGAAAAATTTCTAAGAGAATATAAAAATATTTAAAACCTATGGGATTGAAATATAATGGAGTATGCTAAATGTTGCAGTAACATTTCAGATTACAGTTGCAGATAAATGTTTTAGCTTTTCTGTAGAGGAGACACATGGTTTTGTGATAGGGATTTAATCTTATTATTAGGCATTTAATCTGGAAATTTCACTTGAATTATTAAATTTTTCAGTCATTACAATATTGACTTCTGTTATTTTTACTATTAATTATGAAAGCTTTTGCTTTTGAGTATATTGGTACACATATAAGGAATAATTAATCTTGTTAAAAAGGCAAATTTCAATGAAAATATAGGATAGGATAGGGTGCCATCTTAAAGGTTTTGGATTGAAAAATTGATTTTGAGAGAGAGAAAAGTTAACGAAAGAGCTGAGATGGGTCCAAGGGTAATGTGTGTGCTGTGCAAGCCATGAGAGCTGAGTTTGGATCTCCAGTGCCCCCATAACAGCTGGACATGGGAGCTGAGTTTGGATCTCCAGTGCCCACATAACAGCTGGACATGGGATCTGAGTTTGGATCTCCAGTGCCCACGGAAAAGCTGGACATGATGGTGCCTGTCTGTAATCTCTGCCGTGGGTAGAGACTGGGATCCCAGGACTTGCTGGATGGGAGCTCTAGGTTCATCGAGAGACTGTGTCTCTGAAATGAGGTGAATGGACAGGGAGATGGCTCAGTAGGGAAAGCACACACCGGGCAACCTGAGTTTAATCCCCAGAATCTGATAATCCACATAAAAACCTGGATGTGATATGCAGTGAATCTGTAATCCCAGCATTTCAATGGTAGGTGGAGACAGGAAAGTCAGATGTATTCTGAGTAGCAGCAGAGATCAGAAGAGAGCCCTGCTCCTACAAGAACCGACTCATGGAATGTGTCTTCTGACACACACACACCCACTGAGAGGGAAGGGAGAGGGAGAGAGCGAGAGTGCGCGTGTGCACGCGCGGTACAGGAAGACAGCTTGACACTAACCTCTGGTCCCTACCCCCATGCAAGCATGGCACATGCTCTCTTCTCCCTTCCACCATCCTCCGTCCACTAAGTCAGCAGAAGTGCGGAGTTTGGGAGAAAGTCATGTACTTGCCACAGTTAGTGGGTTTAGTCTGGCTTTTGGGTTCCTGGAATTTCATGGGAGCAGTGGTGTACAGACTTGACAGTGATGACAACAGGCAGGAGTCTACCCCGCCTTACTATGATCACTAACTGGATGGAGTGTGACATCAGGAATATTAATTTCTAATTCCTCCTTCTACAGGAGAACTGTGTTTATGAAACTGTAGTTTTGCCTCTGGATGAGACAGCATTTGAGAAGACTTTAACACCAATTATACAAGAGTACTTTGAGCACGGAGACACAAATGAGGTTGCGGTAGGTTTTAAGTTGCAGGAGAAAGCAGCACTGTTAACAAGGAAAACGAGTGTAGAATGATGTGGATTACTCTGGATAAGTTTATGTTTTTTGTTTTGTAACAACAACAGATTTCTTAACCAAGAAGGGACTATGTGGGATATGATTGTTTATGCCTAAAATTCCAGGATTGGTGATGGGAAGGTAGGTAGGACAGTTGGGGCTAGTCTAGGCTACGGAGGGCTTCCAAAGAAAAAAGAAAAAATACTTCTTTTCGTCACGCAAGTTTTCTTGTGTATTTTTGCACTCTGATGAAACCTATATTCCATTTTCCTGTGGGGAAAATGATGTAACCACTATTGTTACACATTTATAAGTTAGACAGTTTCAGGGAATTTATGGATCCCGTGTTGAAACCTCTTCAGGGGCCTCAGGATGGTTCTGGATGAGATGAAAACTGTATCTGCACACTCTCTAAAAACAAAATGTTTATACAGAGATCTGAAAACGAATGTGTACAGGACCAAGAGAGTCAACCTAAGTTTTGAATCATAATTTATATGGGAATATTTAACGTGTTTATAGTGAATTGTTCATAAAGTAAATCTAGAAGGATAAAATAGAAGTACTGGTTTTGTTAGAATTACAGGCCTGAAATATAACAGTACTAATTGAAAGACATTTATAATTCTTAAAATACAGGCTCGACTTTCTTGGCTTGTTTGTTAAATAGTTTTGGTATCTTTGGATTTATAGCATTTTAATATAAAACAAATATTTGTTTATCTCATACTGTTGTGTGACAAACTTTTCCTGGGGAGACACAACACACATACATTAACTCACTCCAGATAGGGAACCCATGACAGTCCCGCCAAAGTCCAATTTGATGACCCAATGAGTTTTACTGGGATCACTTACAGGAGTACCGGTGAGGGGTCACTTAGAGGACCAGAAGTGACTCAGAGACCGCTGTATCACCAAAGCCCACCCAGCCTGCAAACAGCTCAGCAGGTTAGAGTCCTTTCCAGGTGCCTCAGTTGATACAAGCCCATTGTATCAACAAACCTCGTTGGTTTCTGTTGCTCCTAGGCCATTGGCCTGGTCTCAGAGTTTTCTTGGCAACTGGGCTTGCTTGAGTCTTCTTTGCAGCTTGGCTCTGCTTACCTCTGGTGAGGAGAGAACTAATAAATGTGGTCAGTTTCAGGGACTTCCTGAAGCTGTTTTGAGTAGTTTACTTTCCTGCTTAAAAAGCTTCCCTGCAGGATGGAGTATTTTAATCTTAGAGGAAAGTGTTACACAACACTCTACCCCTTGCTCTGGCTCTTACGTTCTTCCTGCCTTTCTGTAGTGATTCCTGAGCCTTGGAGGGGGTGACTGTAGATGTCCACCAATGGCTAAGAAACAGGCCAACATAACACGCCACCCTAACAGTCATTTGTTGTCAGGAGCTTCCCCAGTGGTTAGGAGTTGAGGCTGATCACAATAGAGGTCTATGGGTGTAAACACACATTTAGAAGGTAGTTGGACAGGCACTCTAGCATCCATCTAGAAAAACCATATAAGTTGTTTCCTTTGGGACCCATGACCTCCCCAGCCATAGGTTTTCATTTTTCTTTCTTTCTTTCTTTTTTTTTTTTTTAAAGATTTTATTTATTTAT